GCTTGCTTGTCATGCATCAAACGTTCTTTGCATTCTCTCCTCCTTTGACCCAGACCCAGACCCCCTGACCTGGCCTGACCCCGCCAAACCTTCAAACCTCTAAATCTCATACGCAGAATTTTTGAAGGTGTTGAGCCAATGTGAGAATGGTGTCGGGGCCGGCCCAAATATATTTACATTTGAACATCTTCGCGACGCGTCAGTTGCAAATGCAGCTGTCCCCACCCACCTGCACACCTTTGTAAATACAATTATTCGAGGGAACTTGTTGCTGCAAGTCGTAGAACTGCTCAAGGCGTCATGTCTGATAGCCCTGGCCAAGCGTGAAGGTGGGGCCCGCCCAATAGCAATTGGAGAGTGCCTGATTCGTCTGACTGCAAAGGCCGCGATGTCAGTCCTGGGCGAAGCGGCGCGGGGGTATTTTCTCCCGCTACAGTACGGTGTAGCTGTGCCAGGGGAGCAGAGGCAATGATTCATAGCACTTTAGCATACACTGATGCACATCCCAATTGCCTCATTCTACAAACCTACATCTCTAACGCCTTCAAAAGCATATCGAGACAAGCGATAGTAACAGCATTACAAGACCCGGCCCTATCTCCTCTCTTGCCTCTAGTCAAACTTACCTACGGCCATCCATCTTCACTGTTCCTAAACGCTAGCTTCAGTAGCGCGCCACTGACAATCGAACGGGGGGTACGACAAGGGGAGCCCTTAGGTCCCCTTCTATTCGCGGCTAAAATTCATCCAGCACTACGAGCAACAACTACAGCCCATCCTGATGTACTATGCATGGCGTACGCCGATGCGCCGATGACGTCAGCATTTTGGGTGAACAGCATGAGACGGTTGCCACTTTCGCCGAGTGTCACCGACTCTCTCAAGTAGGCCTGCGGCAAAATCTGGGAAAATGTGCCGCATGGAGCAGCCATCCCTTTAGATGAAGCAGTGCAGCTGCCGCCCGGGGTGGGCAGGCATGCCGTGTGTGTGCACACACAAGTCCCCCAGCACTGAAACAGGCTAGTCTGCAGCTACACCAGTCCCTGAAGACTTCCTTCTCCTCCTTTCCCGTGGCTCCTCCCTACCGTAGCCCTCCTGCCCCCTATCCTCATCCCTGCAGCTTCTCTTTCTCAAGCGGTCCTTCATTGTTAGGATCAGAAAGGTACAAGCATGGCAGGAGTAGAAACTAGGCCGTTGTCTACTCTAGATATTCATGTAATCATGGCCCTGCAAGATATAGTCACATCCAGATGCTACCCAATATAATGCACAACCTGTGTCTACCGACCAGCCCATATCCCAATCACCTTCCTTCCTTCCGGCCCTTACCCCTGTCCTTCCTGCTCAGGCTGCCATTCCTGTCCAGCTCATGCCTCCCTACTCCCTCATTACCCCCTCCATCTCATCCTCTAGCACCTGCCATAGGTCGCCCAAGGTAGGCTCTCACGGATCTGTGGGTCCCTGAGGGAAGGCCGCCTCTGCAGCTCGGTTTGATTTGGAGAGGAAGGACACTGCCTGTCTAAGCTGGACTATTATGGACCATCGGTGCCTGTAATGTGCCGTAAGCCGTGCAGCCGTGGTGGTCAGTTTGCCTTGGCGGTACTTCTTCTTTGCTGCCGAGAATGCTAGCAGCCGCAAAAACTGTACCATATCAGCTGCCAGGGCCCCGTATGTCTCAACCGCCAAGCCAAAAAACCCCATATAGTCCAGTCGTCCCTCGTAGAGCCTATGCTTGCTCTCAGATGCCTCCTTTGCCGCCCACCCTGGCGGCTTCCGTGCTCTATTGTCACGTCTCTGTAGGACCGGGTCCGTCACGGTCACATCCGTGACAAAGGTTTCACCCAATTCCTGGTCCTGGATTGCTATATCCGCCCTCTTATGAAGCACCGTGGGGGAAAAGGTGGTAGTTTCATGGAAGGTGGAGAAACCTGCCTCTTTCGCCATCCTAGGTGCCGCATACATTAGTGTGTTATGTGTTCTAACCACGTTCCTTCCGTCCGCACATCTGAGTAGGTGATTTGGGAGCGAGGTGTCTTGGAAATCTGAATTTTTCCGCTTGCAAGGGCACTTTACTATAACCGGCAGCTGCATGCCTAGGCGGAAGCCCAACGCCATCGAGAGCTGACCAGGGGATAATGTAAGGTCAGCCCTCGTTGGCACTACGTGCTACCAATCCCCTGCCTCTGTGCTTTGTCTTTGCCGCCTGAGTGCATAGCAGGCGTCACTACAGCTCTCGTAGAAGGAAGTACTGCAAGTCGATGTGCTTCATTCTTCCCACCAGACGAGGTTCTTAACACACATGGCCTTATTGTCAGCGAGCAAGGTCGGTGCGGATCAAGGCCGCTCACGTAGGTCAGTGAGCAAGTAGATTAATCGGCGAAGCTCCTGAGCAGCCATGACAACAGCATAGATCTCAGCCTAAGCTCTGTCCTTGGTGATCTGCAAGCCAGGGCAGTGGCCCAGTTCACCAAGCTGGATGCATGTAGGCCTCTTCTATAGTTCAAACTTCATTGAAGCTAGAGAAACACTGTCTGTTGTGAAAAATATGAAGTCGTTAACGTAGACGAAGACGAAGAAGGGAGTGGGACCATAACTTATGAACAATGAAGGGTCAGAAGTCGAAGGACTGAACCCAAGATTGGCAAAGGTGATACACAGAGTGTCATGCAACTCACACGGTGCCTGGCGCAGTTCATAGACTGGTCATCTCAGGCTCCACTAAATCCCAGGTGGGAAATTACCGATGAAGCCAGAAGGATGGCATAGCCAGATCTCCTCGTGCACGCTAACCCGGAGAAATGCAATCAAGAAGTCAAATGAGTGAAGCTTGTCAGAGGTCCACTGGTGATCCCCGATTGATCCTAGGGAAGGGTTACAGGCATGTTGGCCTAGGGGGTTATGGTCGCACAGACCCGCAACTAAACAAGCCCTTTTATAACGGTGATTAGTGGCTGGGAGTCAAACAAGGTATCAGAGCGAAGGTCTCGGGTTCGAATTGTTGGTGTAAGGGCCTAATAAACTCAAGCTATTAAGACTTCATCAAACTTAAAACCTCTCCTCGGGGTCACCTCCAAGGGTCCTTGGGTGCCTGGTACAAGACCAGCCCCTATCCTCGGGTCTGAGTTTGTAGAGAGAGGGATCAAGAGGGACTTCGTCAAAACAGCAAGAGTACCTTGAACGTCGTGCAGCGTATTGTGCAGACCGTCGATCGGATTACACTGAGAATTTCCTACATCAAAGCTCGCTCCAAGAGCTATAAAATGAACCGAGTTGCCTCGCGAAAAGTTCTGCCATTACGAAGTTATGGCTCGGACAGCGTTTGTGTACTGTTGCTGTTTTCGTCTTTTGGGGGTAGTAACGGAATCATTTTTTCCTTATTTTGCATCACCTGCATACTGTGTACAGCACAGTACACACCGTCACTACCAATTCCATCCCGTTATTCACCTTGACCACTGTCCGCGCCATCGCCCTTGAGCCATATGCCTCGGCTGGTTACAAGGGCCTATTTTTTGTGTTGGGGCACTCTTAGGAATCAGGGTGCCTTGACGACGTCACCCTGCCTGTTAGGGTATTTTTTCTTCCACCCTATTGAAATCAGGGTAAACTTTTGAGCGCCATGATTCGTAACGGAAATGGGGGAATTGGGGCTGGAATTCAAGAGGGAATTGCGGGGAGGGGCTGTGAGATGTAAGAGAAACGGGGGAAGTTGAGCGGGGAGTGGCGACGGAAATGGGATGAATGGGGCTCGGCAACTGGGAGAAGTGAGGGAAATGGGGAGAATTGTGCTGAAGGTGCTAGGGAATTGGGGAGAGTGGTGTTGGGAGAGATGAGGGTACTTTGATACGTAAGAGAAAGAATGTCCGCACACTGATTTTGATAAGGTAGAAAAAAACTCTGCACTTATGAAGAATGGGTACAAAATCACCTATCCTTTCAGAATTAGGGTAATTATAAATAAATGGATTTTAGAAAGGGTAATGAGGGTATTTTACCCTTGAAAAAAGCCCCTGCTAGTAACCCGTGGTCCGGCCCAGCCCTAAACCTCAATTATTTTTTAGCCTAAGCACTAGGCATATAAAGCATCCCACCCTTTTAAGTGTTGCCATTACCGTTCTTTTTGCTATATGACATTCACTCATGCATTCTCTTATATTGTTCAATTGCTTCGATTGTGCAATTTTCTACCATAACGTAAACAAATTTGAGTAAGTATTATGCTATTACCACCATTGGTTGGCATTTATATTCTTGTTGATGGAACTAACATGCATAATACAGTGCCGATTGCAATACTATGCGGACATTCCATTGGCACGACGTATTGAGTGTTAAACTCCCTCATAAGACATGCTTCCTTGAGAAGGAATTGTGTGGCTGGAATGTTTTTCCAAAGGCTTACACATGAATTTTCAGAATTTATATTCAAGGTATAAGAGCGCAGTTCAAAGGTTGTCAAGAAGCGTTCATGGTAATTTGACAAACTTGGTAAAAATGTTTTCTGACTTCCGCGAGAATGGCAAAATGCTCCATACACACTGGATAATTCAACGGAACCGCAAAATGCGACATCACTGTAACAAAGTTGTACCCTGTCCGTGTCGTCAAAATAGCATTCAAGACAAAGCACTTCATGACCACCTCCCAACGAATGAGTAGACGAACACCAATTTCGTCAACATGGATGGAAGAAAACGGTTCGTCTCAGAAGGTCGACAATGCAATTTTGGTTGACCCTACAACTTTGAGCCGCGCCCTCATGGCACCACTACATATTGCCCACACGTTCGCTTTTTCCTTGGCAAAATGCGTGAGGTTGAAGCCGCCATTTCCACACACAGTAGCCCAGCGCACTCTTGCAAACAGTCCCTTTTACCATAACATTTCACTATCACCGTTTATTCAAGCACGCCAGCTCACTGTATGCCAGCTATTTCAAACAATGACGCTGGCGATAACGGTAGTGCTAGCAGCGGCCTTGAAACCGCCATTTACCTCATATGCTCGGGACAGGTGAGCCCGATGGCCAAACCTTTAACTAGTCTTGTCGTTATTCTACAATAGTCGTTCGTTGGCCAATCTTCTTCGCACGGTTTCTGTCAGAATGTTATATTATATAGCCTGCAGTGGGGTGCTCTATAGCGAGTACAGCCCAGTTAGGGTTTGCTATTTGTATCCAATTGCTTGCTAGTGACCCTCCTCCTTTGTTCATTCTTACTTTCTACTGTTAGTTTTGACATGCTATCAGAGCAGGTCGATCCCCTTGGGTCGATCCTCTAGGTGGGCCCACCACCTAAAGCTTCCGCTGCTCTATTGCTGTCGCGTGCCCCGAGCGCGCTACCCTTTCTTCCTGCCGCGCGTCTGCTGCGCGCGGCGGTTTTCCTGAGTGGTGCGCGCCCGGGGGGCGCGCGACCCTTTCTTCTTCCTGACGCCCCCTGGCGAGCCGCGCGCTGCCCCCGCCCGTCCGTCGCGGCACCCTTGGGAGCCGGGCGCTGCCCCTGCCCGTCCGTCGCGGCGCCCTGGGGAGTTGCGCGCGGCCCCCCGCCCGTCCGTCGCGGCACCCTGGGGAGCCGCGCGCTGCCCCCGCCCGTCCATCGCGGCGCCCTAGGGAGTCGCGCGCGAACCCCTGGCTGCCCCGTCGCGCCGCCCTGGGGAGCCGCACGCGGCCCCCTGCTGCCCCGTGGTGGCGCCCTGGGGGCCGCGCGCCGTCCCCCCCGCTGTCCCCCCGCGCTCCTGCCCCTTGCAACCCGTTGTAGGGTTTTGGGCTGAGAAGTGTGGGGGTGGCGGTTGTGGGGGTGCCCGTTGTGTGCGCCGTCCCCTACTCCTCCTCCTCCTCCGTCTCCCGCTGCTACAGCTGCCGCTCAGGGGGGTGTGTGTGTGGGGAGCTGTGGGGAGTGGAGCTAGGGGGGTGATGTGGGAGTGGAGCTAGGGGTGAAACTGGGGGTGTGTGTAGGGGGGTGTGGGACTGTTTGGGGAGGTTGAGTGGAGGCTGCTGTCTTGTCGTCCGCAGCACCTGTAGTCCGGGGCGCACTATCCTGGTAGCCCAGAGAGTCTGCTACCCCTGTCGCCCATGGGTCCGTTGCTCCTGTAGCTCCTCGTAGCCCGTGAGCCAGTTACTCCAGTAGTCTAGGGCGCTATCTCGGTAGCCACTGTGCCAGCAGCTCCTGTTGCCCGTGTGTCTGCAACTTCAGCCGTCGTCTCCCAACTTCTATCCTCGCACAGTCCCTCCTCCTCCTCACTTGCCCTATGTGATTACATCTAGCTTTGCTTATAATTGTGAACTATTACTATGCTTGCTTGTTGTGTTGATTACACCCCACTTTGGCTATGGGGTGTGTCAGAATGTTATATAATCTAGCCTGCAGTGGGGTGCTCTATAGCGAGTACAGCCCAGTTAGGGTTTGCTATTTGTATCTAACTGCTTGCTAGTGACCCTCCTCCTTTCTTCATTCTTACTTTCTACTGTTAGTTTTGACAGTTTCTTGCATCCGTCCTAACTTAGGACCACTGGCGACGTTGTCTGCCTTGTGTAGTTTGTCTCGCCTGCCCTCCCCCTCCCCGCCTCCCCCTTTCTCTCCCCCCACCACCTCCCAATCTCCCGCCCCCAATCTCTCTCCCCCTCCCCCCTACCCTTTACCCCGGAGCTCCTCTCGACCCGCAATAGTACCACGTCTTTCGTCCCTCTCTCGCCACTCGCCTTTCGCCCTGCCGCGTGAGCTTGAAATTGGCGCGATGTGAAGCTCCGCACGCCACGCCGCGGATCGCAGCCATACGTGTTGCAAAGCTGGCGGAGAACACGGACGTGGCTAGTGTGATTCTTGCCTTTCCCCACCCAAACACCTCCCTACTCCCCCTCCCTTACCACCGCACTTCCAACGCCCCGCACAAGTGGTGCTGGACGTGGCAGACGCGGTGAAGGAGCTGGTGGGGAGGAGTCTCGCTGCCAGTGGGGTACCTGCTTCTTCCCATCACCCAGCTGCCCCTTTCCTCCTCCTTCCCCACCGCCTCCCTCCCATCCACCTCGCGCAGGTGGTGTTGGATGTGGCAGGCCCGATGAAGGAGCTGGTGGAGAACAGCCTGGACGCGCCTAGTGAGATACCTACTTCTTCACACCAGCCAAACCCAGTTCTCAACCCCCTCCCCTGTCCACCCAATCCCCGCGCAGGTAGTGTTGGAAGTGGCAGAGGCGGTGAAGGAGCTGGTGGAGAACAGCCTGGACGCAGGGGCAACAAGCGTGGAGGTGCGCCTCAAGGACTTTGGCGTAGAGCTGTTTGAGGTGGCCGACAACGGCTGTTGGGTCGCCCCTCCCAACTGGCAGGTGACGTTAAGGCCGCCCAAGGGTTGTTGAGTGCGGTTAATGCGCAGGTTGGACGCGGGGGCAACGAGCGTGGAGGTGCGCCTCAAAGACTTGGACGTGGAGCTCATCGAGGTGGCTGACAACGGCTGTGGCGTCACACCTCCCAACTGGCAGGTGCCGCCTTGACTGCCTAGGGAGCATTGAGCCGGCTCTAGGGGCGGCCAAGTGGCGCTGAGAGATGTTAATGAGCAGGTTGGGGGCGACGAGCGTGGAGGTGCGCCTCAAGGACTTGGCCACGGAGCTCATTGAGGTGGCGGACAACGGCTATGGAGTCTCGCCCTCCAACTGGCAGGCAGATGACGCCTTGACCGTGCAAGGAACATAGTGGGTGGTTAAGGGGCATTGAGAGCGCTTAGGATTGTGGGCGCTATGGCTGTCGGCTGTCAGGGCATATCCGATTGCTAACAAATGGATGTGTTGGGTGACGGGGGGTGTGGTGTGCCTGGTGACACCTGGCAGGTGGGGGGGGCTTGGAGAGTAAGGGCGATGTGGGTGAGAGTCTGAAAGGTATGCATGGATGCGCTAGGACTTGGCACAGAGATGGTTTGGAGTGGTTGAGGTATGACTGGGAACTTGTTGGATGGTGGGAGGTAATTGTTTAAGTCAACTCAGAACTCACCTCTGTCACCTTTACTTGCCCTCCTTCTCTCTGCACCGTTGCTGGCACTAGCCCTAAGTACCACACATCAAAGATCGCTCATTTCTCTGACCTCCAATCGCTCTCCTCCGTCGGCTTCGGAGGGGAATACCTCTCCTCCTTCTGTGCCCTCGCTGACGTTGCCATCACCACACGCACCGCCAATGAGCCAATTGCAACGCGCTAGGCGTTTCAAGAAAGCTCCTAGGTAGTCGGAACGATGGTCAGCGTGGCGAATATTTTCTCGCCGCTGCCCGTGTGGTGGCAGGAGTTTGAGTTGAACGTGCGGCGTGAGTTTGCAAAGCTGGTGAGGGTGCTATAGGCGTACTGCATGGTGTCCAGACACACGCGAATCCTCTGCATTAATCAGAGTGGGCAGAGCAGCGTGCAGACCACTGTGGTGCAGACAGCTGGCATGGGGTCAATGCGCGAGAACATAATCGCTGTATTTGGCGCCAAGGCTGCTGCAGGCCTGGACACAGTCAATATCACCTTCCCTCTCTCCCCTGCTGCCACCGCCGTTGCCCCTCCTGCTCTTGCTGCTCGTACTCCTCCTGCTGGTGCTACCGGTACAGCTGCCACTGCCTCTGCGTCACCACCAGCCTCTTGCTGCAGAGTAACCGGGTTTCTATACGGACCAGGGGCTGACCGGGGAGGTCATCAGGAGATTGACAATTTTTCTTCCTCAACGGGCGCCCGGTGGACCTGCCGCGCCTCTCCAAGCAGCTCAACGAGCTTTACCGCTCCTTCAACTCAGTGCAGTTCCCCGCCGCTTTCCTAAACGTTCCGCTTAGCGCGGATGCTTACAATGTGAATGCTGATGTACTTGGGTACAACATGAGGCTATATATAGTCTTGACACAAGGCCACTAACCCAGGTGTTACAAAAACGTTTTTAGGGTCGCGAAGCGTCCTGAAGAGAACCTTTCCGAATTCGGTAGAAGGCAATTTGGTGGCAACCGAAAGGCCTGGAATTCGGTACACGCAACCTGGTTTGGTGCTATAAGTATAATAAAAATATAGGAAAGTACCTAACATTGGAAATAAAGCATAAGTAACCATGATAAATGTAACCTAAGCTAGAATTAGCATAATAAAGTTAAGGCAATCAAGCATAGCTAGCAAAAGTCGTTGTACTCTCACATTCACCCATAGTATATTCGGTCTTAACACTGTCAGAACATTATAGCTTATGCTTTTGTGTAGGCTGTAGTGGGGTAGCCCATATGGGGTACACCGCAATTAGGGTTAGTACTTGTACCCAACTGTTTCATAGTTCATTCATTCTCGTTCACATTTTCTCATGGTATCGAGCAGGTTCCCCCGTGGGAACTGTGCCTAGGGCCCACCACATCGACCTTTTTTTTCCTGCCCGAAGCGCGCTCTGCCCGAGTCGCACTTCGTCGAGCCGCCCTAGTGGCCCTTTCCCCTAGCGGCCCCGCCGCACGTCGCCTCGGCCCCGCCGCCAGTCGCTTCGGTCCCGCCGCCCGTCGTCGCGGCCCCGCCGCCCTACCTAGCGGGCCCGCCGCCCTACCTCGCGGCCCCGCCGCCCTACCTCGCGGCCCCGCCGCCCTACCTCGCGGCCCCGCCGTCCTACCTCGCGGCCCCGCCGCCCTACCTCGCGGCCCCGTCGCCCTTCCTCGCGGCCCCGCCGCCCTACCTCGCGGCCCCGCCGCCCTACCTCTCGGCCCCGCCGCCCTACCTTGCGGCCCCGCTGCCCTACCTCGCGGCCCCGCCGCTCTACCTCGCGGCCCCGTCGCCCTACCTCGCGGCCCCGCCGCCTTGCTCAGCGGCCTCGCCGCCCTTCTGCACCGGCCCCGCCGCCCTACTCCTGCGGCCCCACCGCCCTACTCCTGCGGCCCCGCCGCCCTACTCCTACGGCCCCGCCGCCCTACTCCTGCGGCCCCGCCGCCCTACTCAGCGGCCCCGCCACCGTTCACCAGCGGCCCTGCCGCCCTACACCGCCCGAGCTGCCAGAACAGCCCGAGCCGCCCGAGCCGCCCGAGCCACTCGAGCCGCCCGAGTCGCTCGAGCCGTCCGAGTCGCCTGAGCCACCCGAGCCGCCCGAGCCGCCCGAGCCGCCCGAGCCGCCTGATCAGCCGAGTCGCCAGTGCCGCGGAGCCGCAATCGCTACTGTGCCGTCCGAGCAGCCGTGTTGCCGGGTTACTGCACTACTGAGCTGCCCGACTTGCCCTGTCTGGTGAGACCGGCACTTCTGTCACGGCACTGCCCCTGTCCTACAGTTGGTCTTGCTAGTCTACTGCTGTCATGGCTTCCCCTAGTGTTCTTGCTTTTGACGCTGAGGGTCGAGCCATTGACTTTGAGGTTTGGGTAGATGACCTGCAGCTCTTCTTACAGTGCGATAGGGCAGACGGTCTCTCCCTCTTTGACCTCACCTCTGGCGCCTCTCCTGCCCCTGCTGCTGATGCTGACCCCACTGTTCGCTCTCAGTGGGCCACGCGCGATGCTGCTGCACGTCTTGCTGTGCGTCGCCACCTGCCTACCTCTGAGCGCGCGCACTTTAGTCAGTACAAGAGTGCTCACACCTTATACGACGTTGTAGTTGCGCGCTACTCTTCCCCTGCCACTGCTGCACTGAGCCGCCTCATGCTACTGTACCTCTTTCCTGACCTTGCTGCCTTTCCCACAGTCGCTGACCTCGTTACGCACCTCCGCACTAGTGACACTCGCTACCGCGCCGCACTTCCTGCTGAGTTCTGCGCCAAGAATCCCCCCCCCCATGTACATCACTCTCTATTATATCGTCACTCGCCTTCCTGACTCCCTTCGCGTAGTCTGGGACCACTTCCTCTCAGTCTGTCCCACCACTCTCACTGTTGACCTCCTAGAGAAGGCCCTCCTAGCAACGGAGAAGAGCATAGTCGCTGTAGGAGCCTCTCGTGGTGACCCTCGCACCCCCATCTTTGAGGGGTGTTCCCCTTCCCCCCTGTTGCCCTCTGTCGCCTCTGCTGCTGCGGCCGACCTCGTTGGTCTTGAGTCGGTCGTTGCGGCGTCTGCCCCTAGCGGGAGACGCCGCTCTGGCAAGGGCAAGGGGGGCAAGGGCGCGGGTGGGGCTAGCGGGGGTGGTGGAGGTGGCGGTGGGGGCGGCGGGGGGAGTGGGGGTGGCGGTGGGAGTGGTGCCGGGGGTGGAGGTGGCGGTGGCAGCGGCGGAGGCGGAGGCGGCGGTGGTGGTAGCGGTGGGAGCGGAGGCGGCGGTGGCGGCGGAGGTGGAGGCGGCGGTGGTGGAGGAGGTGGAGCTGGTCGAGGTGGTACTTCTCAGCGGAGCGGCTCCGGGAGTGGTCAGCGCCAGCAGCAGCAGCAGCAGCGTTTGGAGCGCTCGGGACGTGCAGCTGCGGCAGGTGCACGCTCAGCTCCAACTCCAACACCCCCAGAACCAGCACCGCCAGAGCCCTCACCTCGAGCACCAACACCCTCAGAGTCCGCAGTGGCCGGGAGAGGAAGCGCCGACGGCTGCTGCGGAGGCTGTGAGGACGACTGTGGGGAAGGAGGAGAGACCTGGGGGGGGGACCAAGGGAGGGGGGGTAGCCTGCGACACACCTGACGGAGCGGGAACCGGGGGGGGTACCGGAGGAGAGGGAGCGGGAGGAGGAGGAGCTGGGGCGAGGAAGAGGGGAGGGGGGGGAACCGGGAGACCTCGACAGGGGTACCGGACGAAATAGGGGACGGACTCGTCGAAACTGACGTCACGAGAGTCAAAGAACCGGTGGGAGGGAGGGTGGTAAAAGGTGAAGTCAGAGGAGGCCTCAGGGAAACCAAGGAAGACACAGGGGACGCCGCGAGGTGAGAGCTTGTCCGCAGAGGTGTCGCGGACAAGTGCCAAGCAGCCCCAGACACTGAACCTCGACGCAACACCAGGGGATCCTGTCCAAAGACTGGTCGGTGAAGCCCCTGGCCGAGAGACGCGAGGCCAGAGGTTGAGCTGGTGAGCGGCGTACCGAGCCGCGAAGGCCACAGAAAATGGGGCGCGCGGGCGTGGATCATGGAGGTGCGGGCAATCTCCATGACCAGGCCTAGCCGGCGCTCAGCAACCCCATTCTGCTGTGGAGAGTCTGGAAGAGTCCAGGACTGGGTGATGCCCTGCTCAGCACAGAATCTGGCGAGAATGCCGGAGCGAAACTCACCCCCACGGTCGGAGTGGAGACAACTGACACGACGACGACGAGTACTCTCGGTGGCGAGCAGCCACCGGATCAGCGTAGAAGTCACGTCGGACTTCTTCGCCAAAGGGAACACGATGGTGTACCGAGAGTAGTCGTCAACGACCACTAGGAAGAAGCTCTCTCGCTCAGGTCCAAGCCGTGGAGCGGGGCCCCAGACGTCTAAGTGGAGTGTC